GACATAAGAAGTCATGGAGGTAATCTAGAATAAGTTTCCCTTTTGAAACCATTTGGCAATGTATTATGCAGCAGCCTATAGCCCCCAATGGATATTCAAAGGTTATTTATATTAAACTCTATAATTTATATTCATCAAAGAACTAAGTAACATGAAAGGATGCAATTAAAAACAATCAATTATTTCACTGTGCATAAAGTTGATTACGTAACATCAACCAGAATTCATTAGTATTAACTTGAATTGACATCGCATACGGTATTTTTCTGCCACCATAAATCTATTGATTCGAATTAATTACAGCAGCAGGGAGTGTATGGCATTGAATTCCTTTTGCTGTTTCTATTGGGTCTAGAGAAAAGATGAAAAGTTTCACATATATATTTATATATATTTGAATTTTAAGGTTATTTCACTATTATTTACCTTTATGTGTCAGAGTGGCTTTTAATAGATGTAATTAAATGCTGAAAATCCACCTTGTTCACTTCTTTCAGTTCTTCAAGGATAGAAACATTTGCCACGGAGATATAGTAAATGAGATGAGCATATGAAAAAACGTGCAAAAATCCTTTCTCTACCTTAAAAGAAAAAAAAAAGTAATGCTTCCTTCTTCTTCACATTGTCCAATTAAAATTAAAATTTTAAAATCTTAAAGTATTTTTACTTTTTTTTTTTTAATTTTTAAAAGGAAAACAACCACTTAAAAGATATTTTTAAACAAGAGATTTTTCTCTTTTTTTTTTCCCTAGTGGAAACAGTTGGGTTTTCTGACCAGAATTGTAACATTTGCTTGTTGTCTAGGATTCTGTGATGCAGCCTAGATTGCATGACCAGTTTTACCTACTAGAAGTTCCTGTTTCCCACTCGCTATGAGTGAACCTAAATGGAGCGCATTCTTGCACACTGCCTCATACAGCATTTGACAATTTAAAACTTTCTGAAATGCAGTAATCCTATTTACGGGTTTATACTTTCCAAACTCCAGGAAAAATAAAATACGTATAAATGATACCATGCTTTGATGGCATCTTCCAAATGAAGAAAATATTCTAGCTTGCCCACCTTTATATGTGTTTTCCAATCTTGGTTTTAGCTTGCAAGCAATTTTGATGGTTATTTCCACAATGTGTTTAGGCCAAATACAGCGAGGTTTTCTTCATGTGTACTTTAATTTTTCCACCAAAGCAATAAAATTGGAAGTGCAGGATAAGACACAGTACAGAAGAAGGTGCAGGCAAGATCTCCCCATTGCTATGCAATAGTCTGGAACCTCATAACTTAGCTTTTTGTTTGCATTTTCTTGTTACAAATATGCAGATAAAATACTGGGAGTTTAGCAATATTAACACATTTGATTGATTGGAATTTAGCAATGCTAACATATTTGATTGATCGGAATTTTCTATTAATCTGTTTGTGTGGGGGCTTGCTATTTCCACACTTTTTCTTTCTCTCTTCCTTTTTCTTTTATAAGGAATATTTTGTGCTCTGACACAAGAATACTCACTGATACAAAAAAGCCCTGACATCAAGTGTCAAACAAGAGCATGACAAGAGAGTGAGGTAGAGGGGACAATGATAGTAGAGATGACCAAGGTAGCCAGAGTCCCTAGCTGCGTTTCCTAGTTGGAAGATGAAAGCACAGCTTGCAGACCTCCAGGAAAGCAAAGGCCATCTCTAGCTGGGGTGGAGACCCAGGTGTTGTGTAAGACTGTAGTGGACAGTGTCAGCTGTACAGACATCACTAACGCCAATGTGATGGGCGCTTGTGTGCAGGTCATCCTGCTTCTTGGAGGGCACCCCTGTGTACGGCAGCTGCTCCGGCAGAGGCTGCATCCCTGGCTGCATCCCATGGTAGGGACTGGCAGCTGCTCGCTAATGAGTACGTCCTTGAATATGGATGTTGCTCTGCTGGCTTGTATCGGGAGCAAGGACTAAGTGTTTAATGTGCCAGCTATTAGTATTTTAAAATTGTGTTGCTGCTTTATGAAAAGCAATGATTAGACCTTGGCTGCTGAGAGAAGGACAGAGCCATGTTTTTTCTCCCTCACCCAAAATAATATCCAGAGCTCCTGGCGTGGTGGAGCAGGTAGCAGCCACCCTTTCGCTGCTGATTCAGGCTATGCACTGTGTGCTCTGGCTACTTGTGTGAAGTGGAGCGGAGGGAAAGTAGGAGACCACCTTGTCTCTGCGCCCTTGCAGTGCACATCTCTGACTGGGTAGGAAGCCTGCAGCACAACGTAACCTGCTCCTGTGAGTTTGTGAATACAATGGCCCGATTTCAGAGCAGAGAAGTCCGCCATTTATTCAGATTTTTCACCTTCAAAACACCTTATTTATTCAGAATTAGAAGTGGACACACAGAAATTTATTCTGGGTGTGTCTGAGAGAAATCTTCTGCTAAAATGTAGAGAAAACAGCGGTTGGCAGTATCTGTATAAATAACCTACCTCTGTTTTTCTCAAGACGTCCAGGAGACAGCTGTCACTGGACATATCTAATATTTGCTTAGATTTTTTAAAAACTGGAAATCTTTGTCTACTGCTTTTAATGTTACAGCCATGAGAAGACCAAGTCATGTGAATGTATTCCATAATCCAATTGTGTTCCATAATTGCTACTTAATTATGGATGCAAATCACAAAGAAGCATAATGAGAGCCATAGCTCTCCAATTTGTTTCACTTTAAACAAGTAAACCAAACAGAAGAGTCAAAGCAATGGTCCTGTTTTTCTCTATGATTCAATACAGTTCAAGGCTCTATGTATTAAGAGTTCATTGAAAACACAATTAAATCAGATGATAAAACAAGGGAAAATCTATACATTCCATAGTTTTGAATCAGAAAGGATTTTCTACACCAACAAGTGGTGTGAAAGTCAGCATATCAAGTTCAGTGGTTTGGGATGTGGTTCCCTCTGCTTACCTTGCCAAGGCCTTTGGAATTCCTCTCCCTGCTATGTGGCAAAACAACTGAGAATTTTGCCATGGTGTGGACTTCTTTTTCCTGTCCAATATCTCCTGTGAAGGAGATGGAAGTGATGGGACATCACTATCATAAAATTGAATATTTAGGTGAAATTGCCTTCTCTTAGGCTCTCTTCTCTTCTGTACATTCAGGCCCTACGTACACTGTCACAGCGAGAATGCAAGTTGGGGGGTGAGAAATGAGAAGACAGACAGAATTAGTTGGTGTTTGTGGCTGAATGGTCCAAAGAAAATGGGAGAAAATCTTTTCCTTGAATCAGAGTTCATCCCAGATGTTGTTCAGAATTATCTGCATTTGCATTAGAAAATATAAACACATTTGTTTTCTTTTTGCAGAGCAAAGATTCTTCCAATTTATTATACGTTGTTAAAAAACTACCCTAGGGACTATATTATGTCCAGATACAGCAGTATAATTACATTGTTATTCTACTAAAGTGGAGTTAAACAAAGATAAAAGCAGTCTTGAAATGAATTGAATATGGTTTTCTGTTCCTGGTATGGAAAATGGGAGGAATAACAAATTACTGAACAAATTTTATCCTGTCTGCTGTGCCACACCATTAGAATATGTAGGATGGTGATGGGTATAATCAGGGCACTATTCTGTCTGTGAAAGAAGGCCTTAATATAGAATCATAGAATCACAGAATCTTTGAATTGTGAGGTGATTTGAGACAGCCAGCATGACTTCACTAAGGGCAAGCCCTGCCTGACCGACCTGGTGGCTTTCTATGATGGACTGACCCCATCTGTGGACAAGGGAAGAGCTACGACTGTCTTCTATCTGGACTTGTGTAAGGCCTTTGACACGGTCCCCCACAACAGCCTTCTCTCTCAGTTGGAGAGATATGGATTTGATGAGTGGGCTGTTAGGTGGATGAGGAATTGGTTGGATGATCACATCTAGAAGGCAGTGGTTAGTGGCTCAATGTCCAGATGGAGATCGGTGACGAGTCGTGTGCTTCAGGTGTCTGTACTGGGACCAGTACTATTTCCTATCTTCATCGGTGACCTAGACAGTGGGATTGAGTGCACCCTCAGGAAGTTTGCAGATGACACCAAGCTGAGTGGTGCGGTTGACACGCCTGAGGGACAGGATGCCATCCAGAGGGACCTGGACAAGCTCAAGGAATGGGCCCATGTGAACCTCAGGAGATTCAACACAGACAAGTGCAGGATCCTGCACATGGGTCGGGAAAACGCCCTGTATCAGTCCAGGCTGGGGGATGAAGGAATCGAGAGCAGCCCTGCCAAGGAGGACTTAGGGGTACTGGTGGATGAAAAGCTGGACATGAGCTGGCAATGTGTGCTTGCAGCCCAGAAGGCCAACCGTCTCCTGGGCTGCATCCAAAGTAGTGTGGCCAGCAGGTCGAGGGAGGGGATTCTGCCCCTCTACTCTGCTCTAGTGAGACCCCACCCGGAGTCCTGCATCCATCTCTGGAGCCCTCAGCACAGGAAAGACATGGACCTGTTGGAGCGGGTCCAGAGGAGGGCCACAAAAATAAGCTGAGGGCTGGAACACCTCTGCTGTGAGGACAGGCTGAGAGAGTTGGGCTTGTTCAGCCTGGAGAAGAGAAGGCACCAGGGAGACCTTAGTGCAGCCTTCCAGTACTTAAAGGGGGCTTATAAGAAAGATGGGGACAAACTGTTCAGTAGGGCTTGTTGCAACAGGACAAGGGGTAATGGTTTTAAAGTAAAAGAGGGCAGATTTAGACTACATAGAAGGAAGAAATTTTTTACAATGAGGACTGTGAAACACTGGCCCAGGTTTCCCAAAGAGGTGGTAGATGCCCCATCCCTGGAAACATTCCAGGTCAGGCTGGACGGGGCTCTGAGCAACCTGCTCTAGTAGAAGATGTCCCTGCTCATTGGCAGGGAGGTTGGATGAGATGGCCTTTAAATGTCCTTTGCAACTCAAAGATTTTTTGATTCTATGATTCTCTCTCAAATCTGACAAAAATAATTTTTTTTGGACAAAAAAGTTGAACTAATTGTGTGTTTTGTAGGTCACTTCTCAGCAATCTGGAACCAAACCATTGACCTTCACTTTCGTACCATCCATTGGAAGACTTCCAACTCATTTTGAGGTTATAGATGTCTCTAAGTTCCTTGTGACAATTCCAGATGAACCGAAGGATCTGAGCAATCAAGAATTTATAAATAAGGTACATTTTTGCTTGCGCTGATTTTTCCACTTTTTCAATAGATACAGAAAATTTTGTCCTGAACATCGCCAAACTGAAGCTCTTTCCAACGTGCTTCTTGGCTTGTGCTTCCTTTTAATTTCCAAACCTACCAGAGATGCAGAACCATTATGCAAGAGAAGGCTGATAACTGTCAATGGCCTGTTTTGCCTTTGGCAGAGTTTATATTGGAAGGAAACCCTTGCCCATATCAATACTGTCCTCTGTCAGTCATGCAAGGGCTATAGTCTTGGCAGATGAGGGGGGATTCCTTCCCGATCTTCATGAGAGCAAGAGTGGTGTGTGAGGAGTGTTATCACATGGGAATTGACCAAGAGCTGGTCACTGGATCCTGGTTTTAGCAAATGCCAGTGATGTGGCTTCCAGCAAATGTGCCAGTCCCTTTCATAGCTGTGCAGTAATGCATCAAAGCGAAAGCTTGCTTTTTGTTTTTGAAAGCTTGTTGCCATGATTTGCTGTGACTGTGAAGGCAGCAGCACATTCCTGGTCCTCCTGTCTTTAGCCAGCCCATAGTGTTTGTTATTCCTTTCCTGCCTCACAATGCTTAACAGCCTCCTATTTTAGTCCATGCTTCTTGAGAGGAAACTGGAATTCTCAGATTAATATTAATGCTTATGGTGATTCTGCTCTTGTGTAACAGCTTCTTCCCTGGGACATTTCTGGGGCTGCAGTTCTTGATGCTAATAAACTTTTCACAGGAATCCTCTGACCTGAACATGCTCCAGCATTTTCAGTGGCCTATCTGACTAAAAAAGGTGTTGGTCTGGGCAAAGAATGGTCATGATTGAAAAGACATGCACTGGAATATTATCCTTAGGATGTTTAACTCTTGAGTTACATTTCCAACCACTCAGTATTGGTTTTGCTGTAAGTAAATAGTGCCCTGGGTAAGGCAGAATCAAGTATTCCTGACCTCTGTCTCCCTGTGTTTCCCTGTAGGGAGAGAAAACTTTCCTGGTGGGTGATGTAGTACTGAGGCCTTCATAGCACAGATCACTCCCTTTTCTAAAATGTCTAGAAACTTTGCTTGTTCAGTTTGCTACCAGTCTTCTCTGGTAGTCTCTCCTCCCACACCTCTGGAGTAGATGGACTGCAAGATGGGGACTGGTGGAGCAAAGTCCCTTCCACTTTAAAAAAAGATCAGGTTTGAAACCACCTGAGGAACCTGAACATACATAAGTCTATGGGACCTGATGAGGTGCATCCCAGAGTCCTGAGGCAATTGGCTGATGTAGTTGCCAAGCCACTCTCCATGGTATTTGAAACGTCCTGGCAGTCAGTTGAAGACCCTGGAGACAGAAGGGAAACATTGCACCCATTTTTAAAAAGGTAGCAAGGAGGACCCTGGGAGCTACTGACCCATCAGCCTCACCTCTGTGCCTGGGAAGATCATGGAACAGGTCCTCCTAGAAGCTATGCTAAGGCACATGGAGGGCAGGGAGGTGATTCGAGACAGCCAGCATGGCTTCACTAAGGGCAAGCCCTGCCTGACCAACCTAGTGGCCTTCTATGATGGAGTGACCACATCAGTGGACAAGGGAAGAGCTATGGATGTCTTCTGTCTGGACTTGTGTAAGGCCTTTGACGCAGTCCCTCACAACATCCTTCTCTCTAAATTTGAGAGATACAGATTTGATGGGTGGACTGTTGGGTGGATGAGGAATCGGTTGGATTGTTGCACCCAGAGGGTAGTACTCAACAGTTCAATGTCCAGATGGAGATCGGTGACAAGTGCTGTCCCTCAGGGGTCTGTACTGGGACCAGTACTCTTTAATATCTTCATTCTATGATTCTACGAATATTTTAAAAAAGCAGCCAACATCAGATAATGAAAATAACACCTCCAAAGTCACACTGGTGGTATCTCCCTTTATGGTTGAATTTTTTTTTTTAGGAACTGAGCTCCAGGGACTTGTGGAGCTGCCAGTGGAAATTTGTCATTACTGTGTTCCTCAAGCAGGATTCAAATATAAACCCCATCTACAGGCTTTCTCTTACAGTACACAATATTTCTATTCTTTTAACTGATTCCTCCTTCAAGAGAAATATGATTTACCATAAAAATTTCAGTGTTGAATGATTTGATGATATGCATGTTGCATGCTCAGTTTGCAGTACTCCTGCTCTCATCCTAAACATGCTTGAGAAGTGACATACTGGAAGTGGAAACTGCAGAAAATAAGAACAATTACGGTCTGTGCTGAGAAGCTTGAACATACAGTAAAGCTCTCTGACCTCAGATTCTTTGTGTGCTCTCTTCAGAGAATGCCTTGGCTTAAAGGCTTTTGTTTCTTCATTAATATGTATAGTTTTTGTCCCACATTTGTCTGTCAGACTCCTCTGAGGAGCATTGTCTGCTCCCGTGGATCCCGCGGTCAGGATGCCTTCCCATCGTGTCTGGTGTAGTCTGGTCTGACAGCTCATTCGGCTTGACTGCACCCTCCTTTTTGGTTCCCGCGCCAGCCCCGGGCTCGGGCCATCATTATGCTCAGGGTTCCCTGTTGCTCTGCAAGTCACCGGGAAGGCAGTCCCCGCAGCATCATCTGGGGAAGTGGAAGCGGGGTCTCCTGGGAGAGCTTGTTTCTGCTGGGTGCTCATGCCCAAATTCTTCATTCATTCTCTGCACTTGTAGTAGCACAGTACCAGCCACCGCTGCAAGCCAAAATTACTTTGCATTTTTGGGAACACAAATAAAATACAGCTAATTGGGATCTTTTTCCCTGTATCTTTTGCAGTCTAACGCAGTTTCTGATGAGCTGGTCTTAAAAAGCGGCGCCAGACAAGACTGTGTGTCCACCATCCATACAGACAGCACCCAAACGACTTTCCAGTCCCTGGGGTGTAACTCAAGGAAAGGAGAAATGCAGGAGAATGATCTTTTTAAGGCTGAGTTTATCCTGATTACGGACTCAGGCGATGAAGATGAAGTAGCCGCTGCCTCGAACAACATTCATCATCCCTCCAATGGCTACGGTCCCATCAGCGCTCATCTGCTGGCCACATCCCATGTTTCCACTGGCACCGAGGCAGGGAAACCTCCTGGAGATGGGCATGTTCCAGGTGCTGCACTTTCCCACAACACTGCTGATCTGCAAAAACATCAGGTAACCTGTTCTTTAAACTCTAGAGCTAATCTTTGCTTTCTAAAGCTTTCAGGATGTGGACACTGAGTCAGTTTGTAAAGCAACTTGGTCAATTTATTCCTTAATTAGCATTTTTCTTCGTCATTCCTATAAGGTTTGGAATCTAAGTAGCTGTCCCAACCCTTCTGATTTACTGCCTCTCCTTATGTCTCTGGTGTATAAATGGAGCAGGTAGTGCAGATCTGTTGTTCTTTCCTTTAAGAGCAGGTCATCATGACAGCAGGTTAATCAGGTGTTAGATTCTCAGCTAGTCTAAATTGGCTGAGGTCATTGAAATCAATGGAGCCTACAGATCAGTTGAATTATTAGCATCAGACTTCCCAGGCCTATTTTTTTCTCAGCACCCATTGCAGCAACATCCTTATCACATGGAATAGATTCAGACATTTCCTTTGACCTCAGCAGGGTTTCCATTGGTTGAAAATGTCATTCTTCATCGATAATCTAAAAAAATTTTGATCATGGCTACTTTGTCTCTGAAAATGAATAGGACTTCCTATCTTGTGTTGAAATACTTGTGCTACTCAATTTTTCATCAAATTCAGTGTCAATTTTTGATTGAGGAAATTGTGAATAAGAAATTCAGTCTGATTTGGGATTTACAGCATTATGAAATACTCATTTCTTCTAAGAAACTCACAGTGAAGTCAGTGAGAATTTTACCTGAGGACTGTGTAAAGGAAAAAAGATAAATCTATGTGGGGAAGCAGCTTGTAAAAAATAATTGTCCTAGGGAAACACATATTTACTTCAGCAGTGGTCAGTATGCAGATTCTGCCGGGCTTACTTTGGTGGTTCCTTTAAAAGGTATTACAAAAATTGTGTGAGTTTTTTTGTAAGACTATGCAGAAAAATTCATATGCTGTAGCTTTCCTAAGCTTTTGATGACTTGACAAGTAAACAGAGATTTGCCTGGCAAAGTAACAGAAAATACAGATTGCATGAAACAAGGAATTAAAACCTAACTTTACTAGCTGTTCACCTGAATGTGAAGAGGGATAGTATTTAGTATGGGTAATGCATCTCTCATCATTATTCTTAAGTCACAGTTTTTTGAGACTGTACGTACTTCCTCTGTCTTCATTTTCTAAATATCTCTAGCTCTCTCTATCTCTTCATAAGAAGAAGATTTTTTTTACTAATTTGCTTTTTGCCGATGTTCTGATTCTTCTTTGGTGTTTCCTTGGGCATCGCTCTTTCTGGCTTGCTATTAGATAATGAAGTATCAGCAGTTCATAAATGAAGGAAAATGATGAAATTATTAAGTAGATGCATTATTTATCTGTTGGTAGCTTTCCTATGTACAAAGGACTCCATATCGGGGCTACTTGGTCAGTTCTAGGATTATAATGGCAGCATCATGTCCCACTTAAGAGCTATTACATATAACATTATGTTCATTTAAAAGCATAATTAGACAATGGGTTTCCTGTCAGAGATGGGAAAAACAAGAACCAGCACTGGGGATTATTGTGTTAAACAGAGGATCACTCTGACTGAACCAGGGGCCTCCTACAGCTTCATTAATTTCTGACTTGGTTTAAAAGAAAGACAAAAAAAGAAAAACATTGGAAAAGTGGAAGCTTCTATTGTTCTTTGAGGTGTAAAGGTTCTGATTGATGTTGGAAAATGCTATGCCACATTCAAAGTCTGAAAAAATCAATTTAAAAAAAATTAGTTATTCTGGTCTTCTGGTCAGATTTGGAAGATTTTGGTGATAGTTTACTGTTTATATAGTGTACCTTTTTTTTTTTTTTAAAATGTTAAAGAGAGTCTAGTTATGCGAGAGAGAGGCAGACTGACTCCTGCCCTTGGCAGTGCACCCTTTGGGGTGAAGGGGGATGTGTCTCCTCCCTTGAATGCCAGGACGATAACTCAGCTTGGAGAAACTTTTTGACTCACTCTGGGGGATCAATAGCCAGAAGGCTTTTTTAGCTAGTCCAAGTCACTTGACATTCCTCTGTCCAGTGCATGTCATCTGGTCTGGCTTTTCCAGACATATCAGTCAAGAGTCCCTACAAACTTCTGCCATCACCAGGAAAAACGCGACTTCCTTCTTCGAAGAAATGGGACTGTTCTGAATGGCATCTATATTAATTAGGTCTCAGCTTGCAGGTTGATTTACTGTGCTGTTTCAGGAGATTTTGTCACATTTTCCACAGTCTCCAGTGCTTCTTTCTGTCTTTCAGGTTACAGGCTGTGGTAGGGAATTTACTTTATTTTTTCGTATCTATAATCAAATTCTACTGAGATCAAAGCATGGTTAACTGGCTCCAAGACCAGGTCTACATCAAGCCACACCCTCTCTCAGATATGATTTTTGCCTTTGGGCTCTCTGTCACACTCTT